TAATTGGGGTTACATGCCCACCACAGGGCCACCCACAATAGATAGAGTAATGGGGTATTTTGATTTGCCCACCCTGTGATGAACACCCTCATAGAGGAGGAGTGGCATCAGATGTTAGCTCAGGGCTGATCTTCCTTACAAAAAAAAAAAAAAAAAAAAAAAAAAGGATATCCATTGGGGGCTGACCCAGTGGCGTAGTGGTTAAGTTCTTGTGCTCCACTTTGGCGGCCCAGAGTTTGTGGTTTTTGGATCCCAGCGCAGACGTAGATACTGCTTATCAAGCCACACTGTAGGCGGAGTCCCACATACAAAATAGAGGAAGATTGGCATAGATGTTAGCTCAGGGCCACTCTTCCTCAAGCAAAAACAGGAAGATTGGCAACAGATGTTAGCTCAGGGCCAATCTTCCCCACCAAAAAAAAAAAAAAAAAACAAAAAACAGATGTCCATTGTAGTTTCTAGGAGCTCTTTACACCCTAAAGATATATAAGCTTAAATCCCCAGTTTCCATGAGGGCAGGGATTTTTGTCAGTTTTGTTCACTGCCATATCCTGAACACCTAGAATAGGGCCTCACACATGGTAGGCATTCAGTAAAAATATATTGATTAAATAAATAAGGATATTAATTTTATTTATGGTGATTTTGGTATTTAGAAGGTTGAATTTCATGTAGTCTAATCATTAAGCTTTTCCTTTATGATTCTTCTTTTTGCTTTTATCTCCAGAAACTTCTTATATGATGGTCTTATTATATTTCAAGCCCATTTTTTAGAGTTAGCATAAAGATTACATTCAAATATATATTATTCCTATTTTTGGTTAGATAATTCATGACTTTTTGCTGGATCCACAAGTATACTATGCTTCATGCTGCAGAATTTGAAACTTTATTAGTTTACTTTTTTGCATAAACGTAATGATATAAAATCTCTGCCACTCACTATATCAGGAGATATTGTACTGAATATTTTTGCAAAAAATTAATTTTCAATCTAAACGATGTCTTCATTAAAAATTTGTTTGGTGAATTATATTTTCGTATACAGAAAACTTTCTGGCCATTCAAATGGCATGGGCCCAAAGTCATCTTATGGAATAGAGGAAAGTCTCAAAGATTTAAGACTCAGATCTTACTTCCTGAGCTTTGAATTGAGTAATCACAGCTCCTGTGAGGAGAGCATGGGTACTGTGGTGGGGTGGTGGTGGAGGAAGCAGTAAGGGTGAGGGACAGGACCAGCATGCCCTGGCCTGGCCTACCAAGGAATGCCAGGTATGAGCCGAACTTGAGCACTGCCGCATCCCCAAAGCTCTGGGCTTTCTGCGAGGGAACAGGGCTTTCTGTGCATGCCTTGTTAAATACTCAGGCTGTTGACTCTTCAATTATTAATGCAGCTGTAGTGATTAAAAATTTCAGAGTGTTGGAGCTGGCCCCGTGGTGTAGTGGTTAAGTTTTGGCGCTCTGCTGCTGGCAGCCCAGGTTCAGATCCCGGCTGCGCACTGACACACCGCTTGTCAGGCCATGCTGTGGTGGCGTCCCACATAAAGTGGAGGAAGATGGGCACGGATGTTAGCCCAGGGCCAGTCTTCCTCAGCAAAAAAAAAAAAGAGGAAGATTGGCGTGGATATTAGCTCAGGGCTGATCTTCCTCACAAAAAAACAAAACAAACAAAATTTCAGAGTGTTGAAAATTAGAGAATTTCATTATAAGGGTTAACTGTATCAAAATTTCTTCCAATAGGCCTCATTTTTTTCTTTACTGGTGCATCGGGATCCGAACCGGCGAACCCTGGGCCGCCGCAGCGGAGCGCGCGCATAGGCCTCATTTTGAAAGACCTATATTTGCGGCTTTTTAAAAAAAACCTGTTATAATTGGCAATTCTCCAGCTCTAATCTACATCTATTACTTATTTTCAGTATTTATGTTAGATACTAATCTTTATTTTCTCATTTTTCATTTTTGAATTTCCCCATAGTGCCTTAAGACGGTTACTCATGCTTAGTAATGGCCCAATAAATATTCATTTAATTAATTAAGTTATTTTATTTATACTGGTGCCTTTTGGAAGAGAAACTGAAGAATAAATAATCTGTAAATCTTGCCAGTTTATGAACATAGTTCCCTGGGGGAAATAGCCCCTGTAATGTTAACTAAGTATTGTATTTCCCAAAAACAAGGTTTTAACAGAAAACAGTAATACAAACATTTTATTTTTAGCTAGTTTAACATAAAAAATAAACACTCCTTTTTAAAAAAGTAACATTGTCTCAAAGCCAGCTTGGTGGTGTAGGGGTTCAGTGGCTCACTCCACTTTGGTGGCCTGGGATTTGCGGGTTTGGATCCCGGCCACGCACCGACACACCACTTGTCAAGCCATGCTGTGGCGGCGTCCCATATAAAGTAGAGGAAGATGGGCACGGATGTTAGCCCAGGGCCAGTCTTCCTCAGCAAAAAGAGCAGGATTGGCATTGGATGCTAGCTCAGGGCTAATCTTCCTCACTAAAAAAAAAAAAAAAAAGTAACCTTGTCTTACTTAAGCTTTCCAGTAGAAGAGTGTGGTTTCATTATCCCAAAGCTAATGAACAATCATTAGAGCAATCAGTACGTACTGTTTAATAGTATTCTTTTATTTTTTTTAAGGTACAGGGAAAACAATGGTGATGGACATGTTTTATGCTTATGTGGAAATGAAGAGGAAAAAACGGGTTCATTTTCATGGTTTCATGCTAGATGTTCATGAAAGTAAGTTAATGGTGTGAAAGAAGTGATTTTTAAGTGGGCAAACACCACAAATAGTTTTTCTCATCTTTTAAAATTCTTAATCTTTTAATCTTTAAAAAATTAGATTTTTGCTTGAAGTAAGATTTTATTTGGTTTCATTTGTTTTGAGCCGTACTGAAACAATTAGTAATGTGTCCAGAGTTGGTCCTAAAGACAAATTCATTACTTCTAAATAAGAGAACAGGAGTTACTAAATGAAGGTCAGGCAAATTTCTTTTTCTACTAGGGATCATTAAGAAATGTTAAAACCTCACCTGTTTCAAGAAGTTATTCTTGATAAGGTCCTTTACTCTGTGTCACTTTAGCATGTAGGCATTCAGGTTATGCTAGTATGTATGCTTTATTGCTTTGTCAGTGTTCTTATGTTGTTTCATTTTTGCATTAATTGTCTACCAGTTATATTGTAACCCTTTCCAGAGCAGGAATATTGTGTTTTTCTTCTAATGTCTTCAGCATTTAGTACACATGTAATGAATGAAGTGGGACCAGCTAGAGACAAGGGAACATCTTGATTAGATATGCTAGACATAGGGCAGGATCACCTCCTCTCCCCGCATCCCTGAAATCCTCAGGACTAAGATCCATCTGTCAATCTATCTGGTCACTGTCTAGTCATCTAGTCTATCACTTTGTCTTCTCTAAAGTGATTGAACAGTGGGAATGGAATGGCCGCAAAGTGTTCTTACAGCCAGGGGAATATAATAATATGTGAACAACTTATTTTGAGGTAGAGAAAATGCAACTAATTTCAGTAATCACATTTGGTTGTTTCTGGAATTTAAACTTAATTTTTATGTTCACACTAAAGCTTCATTTGGAGATTTAAAAAATATGTTATAGTTGTCTAAAATGTACTATTAATACAACATTTTATTTGTGTTTAATTTCATCCATTTAAGGAATACATCGCCTGAAACAGAATTTGCCAAAAAGGAAACCAGGGCTCATGGCTAAATCATACGATCCAATAGCTCCCATAGCTGAAGAAATCAGTGAAGAAGCATGTCTCTTATGTTTCGATGAATTTCAGGTAAGGTAGAGATGTTTCATAGATGTAGAATGGTATATCGAATGAAGTGTGAAGATTTAAATTCTGTTCCTGAGTTTAATAAATTTTTAGTAAATCGATTTGACACATTATCTCTTATGACTTTAATTTTACTATCTAGTCTAGGGGTTGGCAAACCATGGCTTGCACAAGGCAAGTCTGGCCCAGCTGCTTCTGTATGGCCAGTGAGAAAAGAATGATTTTTATATTTTTAAAGGGTCAGTAAAAAAATAAAAAAGAAAATACAACACAGTACACATACGGCTTGCAAAGCCTAAAATATTTACTATTTAGCCTGTTATTGAAAAAGTTTGCCCACCCCTCATATTCCCGTCAGTGGATTCACATTTCCCGTACACCACAATGGAGATAATGTAATGATTACACAATAATGTTTTTAAAGATGTTGGAGTTTTTTTTAAGTGTTATATAAAAAAACAAGTGATTCACACATCTCGTTTAAGCCTTACAACTTATCTGTGATCAAGGGGGGGAGTTGCCCTAATTGAACTTTTAAAAGTTTCTTCTAGTTTTAGGATTCTCTGAAACTGTGCATTTAAATTGGTAGTAAGTTATTTCCTGATCTTTATTTCTTATCAGAGCAAATATGGCATGAAGGCAAATACCATGTCTTATCTGTATCCTAGGTCGTAGCCAGTGTTGTTGTAATAATAATAATAATAATAATAATAGATACTCTACATTAAGAATTACTTCCTTTTTATTTGACTGCTTTCTTTAGTAGTTCTGAAATGTAATAGTTGGTTGTTATATAATGCTTATCATAAAAACGATTATTGGGATGAAAATAGAAAAATCCACAAGTACTGAATATAAGCTTAGAAATAGGGCTTCACACCCAAAGCTTTTGAAAAATATTTCTGGGGCTGAGTGCAGAAACTCCTGTGTCTGATTGCTTAGAATAAAGGCCCAGAGAACTTTCAAGGGTAGGAAACTAACTGTTGTGTGCCTACTCTGATGTAGGCCCTGGGGGATTCATATATCTCATTGAAGCCTCACAACATATTTGTGATGAAGTGAGGGTATTGCCCTAGTTGAATTTTAAAGTTTCTTCCAGTTTTAAGAGTCCCTGAAATTATGCATTTAAATTGGTAGTAAGTTATTTCCTGTTCTTCTGTGCTTAAAAACCTGGGTTAGTGGGAAGATGATGTGGCCAGGATGCCTTTATCCCAATGAGGCATGATAGGTCTCCTCTAACAACTTAATACACGTAGCTAACAGTGGTCTCGATTTTTGATAGAGGAGAAAGGAGAATTTTCACCAGGAATGGTGTTAGACTGAATCATCTGGGGAGGAGGAATCTTTACTTCTTTCCTCCTTCAGTCATATTAAGACAGCTTAGCATTAACCCTTTGTATTGTAGAACTACAAAGGTCTTCAAAAGAAGGGCTTATGGAAAGGTGATGTTCCCTTGCTACTCTGAAGAGGGATATGAAGTGACCAGTGTATTGCAGAAAGAGAAGGGCCTCACTTAGTTCTACATTTAGTTCTAAATACAGCACTGAGTTAACAGTTGTGCTGCCTTCAACAGCAAAGGTCAGGGGTGAATCAATGAAAGCCATCTCTCTTGGCTTCTCATTATGAGTCTCTTAACCCAATTATCTCTAAATAAAATTGAAGTGGCACAGTTAAATTTTTAATTAATATATTGAAGTTAAATTTTTAAAACAGCAGGGCCGGCTCCATGGCTTAGCGGTTAAGTGCGCGCGCTCTGATGCTGGCGGCCCGGGTTCGGATCCCGGGAGCGCCCTGAGGCACCACTTCTCCGTCCAACGTGAGGCCGAGTCCCACGTACAGCAACTAGAAGGATGTGAACCTATGACATACAACTATCTACTGGGGCTTTGGGGGGAAAAAACTGAATAAATAAAATCTTTAAAAAAAAAAAAAAATTTTTAAAACAGTATATTGATACCCAACCTTTGTAAAGTGATTCATGGTTTACAAAGTGTTTTTACATCCTTACTTCATTTAATTCTATAAAATAGTTATTATCTCCATCATATAGATGAGGAATATAAAGGCATCAGAATTTCCTAGGTATCATGTAAAAATCATTACCCTTAACTTAAAAAATGTAAATTTTAAAACAGGTAGAGAGATGATTGACAGATTTCTGTGACACGAGGACGATTCGCAAGACTATTTCAGAGGGTTAGGAAGTGATGAAAATCTGACTGTGCAAAGGAGATCCTGAGAAGATTTATACAAGTAAGGCCATATTACCCGTTAGGCACAGGAGGCATAGTACTTAGGGTACATGATACTTTTAGAGGCCCATAAAAATGTTTTAATTTCTTTTAAAATTTGAAGAAAAAATGAATATATCAGTAATGAATCCAGCTTGTATCTGTATTATATTTGTCTTATACCCACACAGTCATAAGATATCATATATATATATATATAGATAGATACGTATATATATATATATAAAATTTATTTTTTAATTGGGGAAGGGGCTCATGACAGTAGAAGTGCTTGGGGCCTGTGAAAATCATAATGCCGCCCTGATAGCGAGGTCCTAATAGAAACTAATAGAAACCTGTCTGGTTGCTCTGGGCATTCTCCATTGAGTTCAGATTTCAGAAGGGTTGGGAATTGGTTAGGAAGGAGGAAACAAAAGCAACTCTCACAATGCTAATGTTCCAAATGAGCCAAGTCTTACAAAAGAAATGCAGGCAACAAAAAGGATTTTTCAAATTACATATTAAATATAAGGGAGATCAAGAGAGAGCAGTTGCCTTGCTTATAAAATGTTACTTGCTAACGAAGAAAAGTGGATGTGATGGAGCTGTCTGCCTGCCCCATCCAGAGTTGGTTTGATGTTCATTCATTCATTTATTCATTCATCTCAGTTGCCTTAAAGAACCTAATTCCATACTACAGGACCCTATCTGTCCCACAATCAAATGGACTGTATCTGGACATCTGATCTATGAATAACTAGTCCACAAGCTTGTCAACACCCTTAGACTTGTGTGGTGTGGCCTGGGGATTGGGCCAATCATATACTCTCCCTCATGTATTTGAACTAAAAGGCACAGAAGGAAGTTCCCACTTAGAAATGAGACAGGAACGAAGAGACATAGGAAGTAACTGAATCACATTAGGGGGAGGAGTACTAGGGTGCTCCCTAGACAGCTGCGGAGCTCTCCAGAGCTACCTGATATCCCAGGCCAATCTCCAGCTCCAGTTCCCAGGAAGTGTTATCAGTCTGTTCCTGTCCTGGAGTCTCAAGTAAACCCTCTTTTCTTTTTCTTTTTTTTTTTTTTTTTGTGAGGAAGATTAGCCCTGAGCTAACATCTATCGCCAATCCTCCTCTTTTTGCTGAGGAAGACTGGCCCTGGGCTAACATCCATGCCTAATCTTCCTCTACTTTTTATGGGACACTGTCACAGCATGGCTTGACAAGCAGTGCGTCAGTGTGCGCCCGAGATCCGAACCCCGGGCCACTGCAGTGGGGTGCGCACACTTAACCGCTACGCCACCAGGCCAGCCCTAAACCCTCTTTTCTTTAGCTGAATTCCCTGTGCCTGGTTCTTGCAAACAGAGTCTTGATGAGAATGGAACTATTCAACTCATGTTTTGCTCCTGTCTTCTATGTCAAGAGAGATTTCCCTGTGATCTAAAAAAGATAGGATAAATAGAAGACCTGTGAGGAAATTTCACCTTCCTTAATATAAAATCTGCCTACCTCCAATGGGAGGAGAATTACCTGATGAACTAAAGCACAAGAAAAGCAGAGATGAGGTATCTACTGGCATACTTTTGGCTGCAGGTAACGGAAAACTCAACTTAAAAGGGCTTGAACTCTAAGGGGGGAAATATTGTGCTATATAAGATAGTGCCTTTCCGAACCTTGCTTAAACTTCCTGCTTCCTCTCTGACCTTATCTTCTATACTTTCAGCCTCGCTCGTTGCTCTCTACTGTTTCCAATTCTATTTTCTTCATAGATTAGGGAACCATAGTCAATAGTGGGTGTTATACCAAATGCTTCTTTTTCACCAGGGCTCTGAAGAAAATATGTGCAGAGAATATCAGATCGATTGCTTGTATTTGATCCCAAATTTCAGTGTAGCATTCTAGTATGTTAGAGTTGACAACATGAGAGACCCCATTCCCTTGAGCAAAGTTGGCCTGAGTGTCCTAGAATGGAAGATGTTAATAGTCTTTCTCTTTTAATTCCTCTATCATTCTAAACTTGAACCTTGGAGTTTACCACTGCATTCAAGAAAAGCCCAATGTCTGCATGTAGCCATTGTTGAGAAGAGCCAGAGAAAGTGAGAGAATAAGGGCAAGAATGTGTCCCCTAAGGGTGGAGGTGATCCTCCAGCAAAGCCCGGATTTCCTAGTTTCGGTATCCTGGACTGACTTCTACTGGTCTTAGAGAAGCTCCTTCAGCACACCAACACTGGATTATTGCTTGTCCAAATCTCTACTTGTCCCCCTCTTCTAAAATTCAAGATAGTAAGGGCTACTCCCAAATACTGCTGCACCAGCTCTCTGAGACCCAACATCCATGCAATTTAGAACAAACCAGCAGAGCTTTTGCACCAGACGTTCTTTCTGCATGGAAGTTTCCCCCAGATACCTCTCCTCTGTGAATACCTTTCCTCTATCAATATCATTTAAAAACTAGTTTTGACCATTTTTATAAAACAGGAAGGCTATTATAAACTAACAAAAAATGGATGCTTATTTTTGTGCTAATACAAATCAAATACTAATCAAAATAACTCTCTCACTTCAGATCTTTGCTTAATTATCTCCTTAACAAAGCCTATCCCTAAACGCTATGTAAAATTGCAATTTGCCGTTGACCCCCACACTTCTAATGCCCCTTACCCTCCTTTTTTTACATAACATGTATCATCTTCTAACACATATATTTACTTATTTATTATGTAAACTTGAAGGCAGGAATCTTTGTTTTGCTAATTGATGTATCTCAAATATCTAGAACAGTGCTTGAGAATGAATGAATGAATAATTATACAGAGTGAATGAATGAATAAATCCCAGTATCAAATGCTAACTATTGAAGTAGTCCCTCAACCAAGTCTCACCTCCCTTATATATAATAACAACCCATATTTTTTCCTGTCAACATTCTGAATTATCTTAACATTTTTATCTAATTTAATAGATGAAAAATGGTATCTCATTGTTTTAATGTGTATTCCTTTAAATAATAATATGGTTGAATTTTTTGCATGTCTGTTTGCTTACTTTGTAAAGTCCATCTTTTATGAACTATCTGTTTGAGGCAATGCCCATTTACTTGTTGGAATGCTTACATTCTATCTATAATGTATTCTGTAATAATATTAGCTACTGTTTACTGAGTGGTTTCTATGTGCCTGTATTCTTAGCTACTGTACTATGCTGTGTATTATTCCATCTACAGCTAAAATTCTATACAGCTATATGTAAATAGCACATAATTATACTAGCATATATACCTACATAGGTAATAGTCATAGTTAACATTTCTTGAAGATTTACTACAGGTATCATAACAATTTTGCACGGTAGGTGTTATTACTGTCTTCATTATATTGATGAGGAAATTAAGGGTCAGAGAAGTTAAGTAACTTGTCCAAGGTCACACAGCTGGGAACTCAGTTTGAATCCATTGTCAGTGCTTTTATTGCCTAGTAGGAACAGCTATGTTATGTGTTCTCCTTGATATATGATGTCTTTTATTATGTGTTTAAATATACAAATCTAGAGCTGGGTAGACTTTTAGTAGATGTTTTAATGATAGAACCTAAAAATTATCTTTAAACCTATTAAGCCTAGTACAATACATTGCTGATTTACTAGAAAAGAATTTTTTAGGCATTTTAATCTTGACGACAGTATGTCTACAATCACCACTTCACTTTTAAAATTGAATCCTATTAGTAGTCTTGATTTTTAACTAGTTATTATTAGCATTTAGCTGGTGTTAATTAATATAATATTTATTTTACTAGGGAGATGAATGGGAATTGTTACTGCTTAAAAACAAGAATAAACTCTTTCTTTTTTGTGCTTTTGAATTTAGGGCATTTTTAAGATTATGTTTTGGTAGCATTCAGATTGCATTTGCAGAATGTATTCCTCATTAGCTTGGTCATCTTTACTAAGTGTAGCATTTCAGTTTTTCCTGTGGTATCAGATACAGTATTCTTATTTTGTTTGAGAACTTTGTCTAGATAACGTTTTTATGTGCTTTAGTTGCTGAAATAAAAGGTTTCCCTTGAAGTTTTCTTTAGGGTCTTCATTATGTCCTTCTTCAATATTTATATTTCTTATTAAACCATTTATGATTCTGAAGATATCAGAATACTAAAGGAAACTGATTTAAAGAAATGTTATTTCTTCCTGTCTCTTTTTAGGGACGTTGGATAGATGTTTTACTAATATGATTCGGAACAAAAAAAAAAAAGAATTCTGATGAGCAAAATATCATGCAAAATTCTCCTCTATAAGCTATCAATATCATTTAAAAAATAGTTTTGACCGTTTTTATAAAATAAGAAAGCTATTAAAAACTGCTAATAAAAAATAGGTGCTTATTTTTGTGCTAATACTAATTACTGATAATGCATGCTTATGTTTGTCACTCATTACCTGGCACTGTACCAATCAGTGGATGACTGAGACTCAAGCACTTACACATGTAAATTAACCATTAGATTTTTTTTTTTCTTTTTTACTTAAGTGAGTCATAATGGAAAGCAACTCTAGGTCATAAAAAATCTTTTCTCTTTAATGCTAATGAAATGTCTCCACTCTCTGTATTAGCAGACTACCCTTATTGGTAATCTGTAGCCTTCTCTTTTGTTCCTGGTGGTAATGAAATGCTGGATGCTGAAAAAGCCTGCTCTCCAAGAATGTGTGGCCAATTGTCTCCTGTTCACTTGTACTGTAAAATTACTGTTCCCCAGCAAAGCCGAACAAGTGTGGGGACAAGATCAAAAGAGTGTACATTGGCACCCGGCTACACCAAGTGACTCCTGCTTTATTAATGAGGCCTAGCTTCTCCAAGTTAATTTACTCTGATAGAGCAAAAACATTCCGTAATACAGAAACAGCAAATTATAATTCAACCACAAGTCTTTATTGTTTGCTTTCTTCAACTTTCAGTTTAAACCTTTGCATTGTGTTATAAGCTAAATGTTCCTTCACTTTTCTGAGCCTTAGGGCACAAAAGCTATTTTTAATTTTTTCAAAAACATCAGTGAGATAGTCAAATGACCATTTTTATTCTCTAAGACTGGGTAATTTTTAACTGATATCATTCTTTTTAAAAGTCAGTGTATTGGGGATCCAATTTAAAAGTGCAGTTGCTTCTAAAATTTGCAAGCTTGTTCTGTCCTCTCATCAGAAATGCCACTGGTGTTTAAGCATTTGAAAAAGGCCTTCTGGGAGTGTTTTTGTGGAAGCAAAATTTGACAGTGATCCTAAGCTCCAAATTAAATAATATCACTTTCTTAAATAATTAAATAGTACCACTTTTCATTTTAATCATCACGTTGTAAGTTCCTGAAGTCTTTTTAATTTAAGGAATCTTCAGTAGTTTTTTAGTTAATGTTTTAAAGTTACAGCCCGAGACAGCAAAAAAAGATCTGCACATCTCCGTATCTTGCTTTGGTTTTGTTTTGTTGAGATGGGAAGGAAACGATTAAATTTTTGAGTAAGATATCTGCTGTAAGGAGAAAAGTGATTTAGACCTGTGTAACCCAGGTTGTTGGTGTTCGTTGTGTTATAACCATTTAGTTGGTAACTTTTAGGATTTTGATTCAATTTTAAAGAATTGCACTAGTTTTTATGTACTCTAATATGATTTAAAAATAACAATGTGATTATGTATTGTGTGATATATTTTATGAATATAAAACAAGTTTTATTGAGATTATCTAAAATGTGCTATTAAAGAAAGATTAAAACCTTTTTATATCTGGAGTATCTAAAATCCGTGTTAGTATATTCATAGGGGAAGGTGCAAGATGATGAATATTAGCCTTCACTATACATTTGTTTTTGAAGTCAGCTTCCTTTCCTCCTTAATTTCTGTTTTTCTTTGTGATTTTTAAATGCTTTTTAAAAAGTTATCATTAAGCTTGTTAATTGTGGATTTTTAAAAATAATTTTAGAAGAGATCAGTAGTTATATGTATCTCTGTAACTTAACTTGGATGGAATAGTTTTATCTGCATTATGCCTTTCTGGTTTTGTCAGAAGTTATTTTTTTAAAGTACTGTGTTAACTATTCTTGTTAGTTTTTTTTTTTGTTGGTGGAAGGAATATTTGTGTTTGCGAAGGTTAGCAGAGGCTGGCTGTGCTGGAAGTGACTGCAGTGCCTTTTGATTATTCATGGACAGTAATAGAAGGCACTTAAAAAGAACAATGAAATTGCTTATTTTTGTGATGGGCCATCTGTTGAATTGTTTTGTGCAACAATTGCACAATAGTATCTATGTCATATCGTTCTATTTTCAACAGCAGCTGATTATGTCTCACTGGCTACTTGTCCTTATTTCTAAAGTCCCATGACCATTTAAAGTCACCTTTTCAGGGCCTTTGCCAAAAAAGTATTAGAAATCTCAAACAGACTGTGTATTTTTTTTTTTCTATTTTTTTCTCTCTCTTTTCCCTCTTTTTGGGGGAAGGGGAGCTGTGATGGGAGGAGGAGGAGGGAGTTGGTCATGTTAGTTCTAATTAATTAGACTTCCTAAATGTTTAGCACAATTATCTATGCTTTCCACCTGTAGTTCTAGAAAAGAAGTTAACATAGAACCATTTGATAATTCGCATGGAAATGATAGGCTTGCAAAAAAGAAGAATCAAGTTTAAAAGACTACTACATAGTCTTTCATGTCTTTAATTATCTACTCTTTTCTTCATGATGATAATTAGAATTTTTCTCTTGGAATTCACTTCCATTTAAAAAAAAGATGAGCCATTAGCAAATTTGTTAGAGCAGAAGTGAAATTAAAATAAAACAAATGTGTTGTTGTCCGTAGGTCACTGACATTGCTGATGCCATGATTCTGAAACAGCTTTTTGAAAATCTGTTCAAAAACGGGGTCGTCGTTGTGGCAACATCCAACAGGCCACCGGAAGGTAAAAACAAACATTGTGCCAGTCTCATCCAATTAGGTGGAAACTAACAAGCTTTAAAAAAAATCCATAATTTTGTACTCATTTCATGGTGTTAATAAATCTGATGACTTTGCTTATCATTAGTTTTATAACTGACTTAATCTGAAAAATCAGTTGGTATTGGTATTTGAAAAATGTCTATTCGCAGCAAGCTAAATCCAGGTGATCTCCCGTGTTTGATGCCTTTGCTGTTTTTCTCTGAGTATTAGGTATGTCATATGTACATATCAAAAAATGCAGGCCTTTCTAATTGCTTTTTTAACTTTTTTTTTTGGTTTTGGTGAGGAAGATTGGCCCTGAGCTAACATCCGTCGCCAGTCTTCCTCTTTTTGCTTGAGGAAGATTGTCCCTGAGCTAACATCTGTGCCAATCTTCCTCTATTTTGTACGTGGGATGCTGCCACAGCATGGCTTGATGAGTGGTGTGTAGGTCCACGCCCAGGATCTGAACCTGTGAACCCCAGGCTGCCGAAGCAGAGCGCATGAGCTTAACCACTACACCACCAGCCCGGCCCCCTCTAATTGCTTTTTACAGGCCATAAAAGAAACTCAATGAAATGAAAGAAAAAAATCCTAATTAAATTTTACAAAAAGACCTAAAACGTACTTGCATAAGTAGTTTCTAGTACTTCATTTAATTTATCATTTCTAAAAAAGCACTTGTGGCTTATTAGGAAATTATTTGAGAATTAGAATACAAGTCATATTTAGATAAAAACGACAAGTTTAGAATCCTGTGTCTTTCAGCTCATCATGTGGTCAGTTGAAGGGCTAAGGAACCAAAAATAATATTTTATGTGTTCTTAATGTTAACATCTTTCTGCCTTGAATGCTCTTCTGCCAGATATCTGCAAGGCTAGGGCCTTACCTCCTTGAAGTCTTTGCTCAAAAGTTACTTTACTAATGAGCCTAGACTTATCTCACTATTTGAATCTACGTCCCTTCCCGTTTTTCCCAGCGCTGCTCCTCCTTACCTGCTCTATTTTTTTCCTGTAGCACTTATAGACCCAGCATATAGTTTATTATATTTATGGTTTATTGTCTGTCCCCTTCCAGGATGCAAAAGCTTCATGAGGCAGCGATTTTTCTCTCCTCTCTTTATGGATGTATTCTAAGTACCTAAAACAGTGCCTAGCACATAGGTAGATCTCAGTGAATAGTCTTTGAATGTTGAATGAATGAATGTTTTAAAAGCATCTGTCTGGCTTCAGTGTTGAGAATAGACTGTGGGGATGAGGTTTCAAGGCTGGAGGTAAGGAGACCATTTAGGAGATGATTGCAACAATTCTTTTTTTTTTTTTTTTTTAAAGATTTTATTTATTTTATTTTTTCCCCCAAAGCCCCAGCAGATAGCTGTATGTCATAGCTGCACGTCCCTCTAGTTGCTGCATGTGGGACTCGGCCTCAGGATGGACGGAGAAGTGGTGCCTCGATGCGCACCCGGGATCCGAACCCGGGCCACCAGCATCGCAGCGCGTGCACTTAACCACCAAGCCACAGGGCCAGCCCCGATTGCAACAATTCTGATGGGAGATGATGGAGCAGTGAAGGTAGTGAGAGTGGTCAGATTCTGGATATGTTTTGTAGGCAGAGCCAAAAGGATTTACTGATGAAATGAATATAGTATACAAAAAAGAAGAGAGGGATCAAGAATGACTCAAAGGTTTTGGCCTTAGCAATTGGAAGGATGAAGCTGCTGTTCACTGGGATGAGGAAGAAGACAACAGGAGAAGCAGATTTGCGTAGGCAGGTGGAAGTAGGGGTTTCTCTGATGCTGTGGCTGATGCATATAAGAGTTTGGGTTTCAATGGTAGGATTTGAATTGGAGATATAAATTTAGAAGTCGTTAGTCCTAAAGGAAGCTGGAAAGAGCAGCCAGTGAGGTGGTAGGAGAAGAACCAAGAGAGTGTCAAGTGAGGAAAAGGAAAGTGATGCAAAAAGGATGGATGATTGCCTTTTGTTAAATGCTGCTAGGAGGTGAAAATGAGGTTGAGAATTGACCATTGGAGCATGGAGTTCACTAGTGAACCTGAAAAGAGCAATGTAATGGTGTGAGTTTTTTTTTTAAATAAGCCATGTCACGTTGATGATTTATAATGAATTTGTAATCTGATACACCCAGATCTTACTATGTGAACTGCTGTTAAACTAGGTCTCTCTCATTCTGCATTTGTGTAGTTGATTTCTTTTTCTTCCTATTACATTTCAGCTTATTAGTTTGTCTACATTGTTCCATTTTATTGATTTATGTTAATATCTTTTATATTAATATCTAACATAAATTATTTTTAGCTATCCCTACTAACAATGACATTTATAAACTTGGCAATCATGCTTCTGTATCTTCAGCCATTCATCAATTAAAATGTGAAAATAGGATAGGACCAAGTTTAGACCCCTGTAGCATACTGCTGGAGACCTTATTTTAGGGAGACATTAATTAATTAATCAATACTCTTTGGATCCAGTTATTCAGACAACTATAGTTGTACCTAATCTATTACACTACAAGAGAATTAAGAATGATTTTGTCAGAGCACTTATTAAAACTACGTTATGTATACACCATTCTTGTGATTTACTAGTGTAGCAACTCTATGAACCAAGGCAGTGAACTTTTTAATATTAGATCATCTATTTAGGTGGAAATGAGGCTTGACACTACTCTAGCTAACCTGTTGCCTTAACAGTGTCATCAGTATTACAAGTAGATATTCAGTGACAAGCTATGTTCATAAATAGCAAGGTGCTAGAACAGGCTTGGAACCCTCGCAGCAAAGACTGTTGAAAGGAAAATTGCAGTTGACTGCTCAGGCTCCTGCAGTGTGGTAAATTGAGGAAGGATAACCACAAGGAGAGATTGAGGAACATTCTGGAGCTCAGAGCTTTGTAGGAGTGAACAAAGGTACAGGCCCACTAAGGTAGCATGCAGAAATCTGAGGTGGAGCCACCCTTCTGGAGAAGACTGAAAGTTCAAGTTGCAAAATTGCATAAATTGAGCATTAGCCACAAACTTAAAGAAAGCCTTTTCTTTTTTTTTTTTTTTAAAGATTTTATTTATTTATTTTTCCCCCCCAAAGCCCCAGTAGATAGTTGTATGTCATAGCTGCACATCCTTCTAGTTGCTGTATGTGGGACGCGGCCTCAGCATGGCCGGAGAAGCG